CAACACTGCTGCTTACGTGTTCTCTATCTTGGAGAACTAGGGAATAAACTAACGTACCTGAAATGCTTCAGGGTCTCTCACTTTCAGTGAGACTATAAAAGCCACCAACTGGGACAGTGTAATTCTGAATTAATAAAGATCCCTGAATTGTAAAGTTTTCAGACCTAATAATTACTTTAAAAAATATTTAGTCTTTATGTGAGATTTAGTAGCGATCTTAAGGAAATCCCCCCTAAGTAATAAATGACAATTCAAATTCTGTATCAATTGTTTATCTGTTGTAGAGACTAATGTAGTGATTAAAGGGACTTCTGAAACTATTTACACCTTCTCCTCAAAATATTTAAGGATATTTTATTTCAAACTAGTGCAGATTTTCTCTAAATTAACATAGATTAAAAAATAATAGTGTCTGAATTGATGAGTTTTTCTTTTCATTTTTACCATAGTGTCAGCATTTTATTATCTTTGCTATTTGGAAGAGAAGATCGGCATGAATAGCCAAAAAGTCACACTGATTTATCTTTGGGATGTAGTATGATTTTCTCCTAGTAGATTCATTTCCTAGTTCCTTCATGCATTCAGAAATATTCATCTAATGTCTGCTCCTTGCCAGACACTATAGGCTCCCAGTCTACTAGGAATTCCTGAGATTAATGCAGTAATAATGCTATAAAAGAGTGCTGCTCCTAGAAGGCACATAATATATCTGGGTTGAATAAATATACAAACGGGTGGATGAGTGGATGAAAGGATGTATCCCATACATATCTCAGAGCTGAAGGGTATCTCAAGGGATAATCTGACACAGCCCCTTGCCTTCACTGTTTTCATTTCTGAGCAGTATGGCCAGAGGCCTTCAGGAAACCACAAATTCACTTCTGTGGTCTTTAGGTTGAAAATAAAGATGACTGATTTGCCCTTCCAGCCTAGCTCTTAACCACTGTGCCACCAGGGCTCCCCTTTCTAATGTTATCATTTGAAAAATAGTAATAAAGTATGTAAAAGAGGTACCAAGTACTAACAGCACTAGAAGTGGGAAAGTTGGTCTAGACCTACCAGAAGCCAGGAGGAATTTCTCCTTATCAGAGTTCTGAGTCGTAATTCTGAGGTTATGCAGCAGAAAAACAAACAAACGAACAAAACATTGAACTAGCTCTCAAGAGACACATAAAAAACAGCCACTGTATTTAAGAAAAACTTTTTTAGATAGTATCTGCATTGTGTCCCCAGGAAAATCTAGAAAGATGAGATGAAGAGAGAGAAGAGGCTGAGAGAGAGGCAGAAGGATAAACAGTGTTGTTGTTACGTGCCATCGAGTAGATTTTGATTCATAGCAACCCCATGTGACAGAGTAGAGGGTTTTCTTGACTTGTAATCTTTGTGGAAGCAGTTCACCAGTTCTTCCCCCAGAGCTAGAAAAAAATAAGAATATTCAGCCACAGAAATAAAATCATCATTGCAAGCAGAAAACAAAATATTCGGTAAGTAAAATGAAATGAGTGAGATGGGGGCAAGCTGGAGAATTTCTTCCAAAATGCAGAGGAAAATAACAGAGAACTACAAACAACGATGGGGTGATGGACAGGAAGGAGACTAACAATCACACAACTGGTGTTCCTGGACAAGAGAATGGAGCAGAGGGAGCAGACACAGACTTAAAGATTTAAAAAGAAAAAAATAGAAGTCTTACTGAGTGGAAAAAAAAGATACAGTTTTCAGATTGAAAGCCCCAAAGTTTTCCAGGCAAAATGAATGAGAAAATAATCCTATCTCCTGATCATACCCTAGCAAAATTATTGACAATTTCAGCTCACAGAAAGACTTGTCCAGGAATCCAGAAAGGGAAAAAGCAAATAACAAGAACTGATTACTTAAAGGGGAATAAACTATAGGCTTGTCTCAGACTTCTTCAAAGCATCAAATTCCTCACGGGCAGCATGAACAAAGTGTCACGGGGAAAAAAGTTACAACACTCCTATTCTGTGAACCGCTAAACTGTTAGTTCTTGGTAAGGAGAAGAGAAAAAGTTCTTAGACAGTCAAGGATTCATAATCTGCCCTACCCACTGATCTATTTTTGTGGGAAAAATACTCCAAAAATACTCCACTGTCAACAAAGAACTGAATCTTAATTTGGACCTCAATCCTGGATCTCTTGCAATATAAGAGGAATAATAATGAAACATCGAAACAATTTAAATACAGAATTTAGCCTAAGATGTTTTTAATGGCTTAAAATATTGCAAAGCTCAAAAAGATCTCTAAAATATCATACCTAGGGATGAAATAATAATTCCATTAAGGATGGAAACGAGACAAGTATACCTCCTATCACTGTTATTATTCAACATTGTTCTAGAGACCCTAGTTAATACAATAAACAAGAAAAAGAAATCAGAGGTATAAATACTGAAAAGGAAGAGATAAAATTGTCATTGTATGCAGATTGTTTACCTTAAAATAAAAAACAAGAAAATCATTTGAAAAAAGCTATTCAAAACAATAAAGTTCAGTAAGATGACTGGATATAAGATAAATAGGCAAGTATTTATAGCTTTCCTAAGTGCCAGCAGTGAACAACTACAAAATATATATATATATATTTTTATTATTGTGCTTTAGTGAACGTTTACAATTCAAGTTAGTCTCTCATACAAAAATCTATACATACATTGTTATGTGACCCTAGTTGCTCTCCCTATACTGTGACAGCACACTCCTCCTTTCCACCCCGGATTTCCCGTGTCCAGTCAACCAGCTCCTGACCCTCTCTGCCTTCTCATCTCGCCTCTGGACAGGAGCTGCCCATTTAGTCTCATGCATCTACTTGAGCTAAGACGCATACTCTTCACGAGTATCATTTTATGTCCCATAGTCCAGTCTAATCTTTGTCTGAAGAGTTGGCCTCGGGAATGGTTTTAGTTTTGGGCTAACAGAGAGTCTGGGGGCCGTATCTTCCAGGGTCCCTCCAGTCTCAGTCAAACCACTAAGTCTGGTCTTTTTACTAGAATTTGAGTTCTGCACGACACTTTTCTCCTGCTCTGTCAGGGAATTTCTGTTGTGTTCCCTGTCAGGGAAGTCATTGGTGGTAACCAGGCACCATCTAATTCTTCTGGTCTTAGGCTGATGAAGTCTCTGGTTTATGTGGCCATTTCTGTCTCTTGGATTAATACTTTCTTTGTGTCCTTCGTGTTCTTCATTCTCCTTTGTTCCAGGTGGGTTGGGACCAATTGATGCATCTTAGATGGCCGCTTGCCAGCTTTTAAGACCCTAGATGCCACTCACTAAAGTGAGATGCAGAACATTTTCTTAATAAACTTTGTAATGCCAATTGACCTAGATGTCCCCTGAAACCATGGTCCCCAGACCCCCGCCCCTGTTACTCTGTTCCTCGAAGTGTTTGGTTGTATTCAGGAAACTTCTTAGCTTTGATTCAGTCCAGTTGTGCTGACTTCCCCTGTAGTGTGTGTTGTCCTTCCCTTCACCTAAGATAATTCTCGTATACTATCTAGCTAGTGAATACCCCTCTCCATACAAAATATATTTTTAAAGATCCTGCTTTCTATAATGAGTATAAGATAGCACAAACCAAACCTATTGCTGTTAAGTCAAAGTCTGACTCATAGTGACCCTACAGGACAGTAGAACTGCCCCATAGGATTTCCAAGGCTATAATCTTACAGAAACAAACTGCCACGTCTTTCTCCCACAGAGCATCTGGTGGGTTAGAACCACTGACGTTTCGATTAGCAGCTGAGCGCTTTAACCACTACACTACCAGGGATCCTTAAGTATAAGATGCCTAGGAATAAATTTACCAAGAAATGTACAAGACCTTCCTACATTGTGGTTAAGATATAGGTTCTGGAGCAAATTGCACAGGTGTGAGAATCACAGTGTCATAGTGTATATGGAGTGTGAATTTTTCCCACTGTAAGGTGCATTGTGGGGTCCTGGGGTGGTGCAAATGCTAACCAAAAGATTGGTTCAAGTCCACCCAGAGGTGCCTTGTAAGAAAGGCCTGATGATCTACTTCTGAAAAATCAACCACTGAAAATTTTATGGAGTATAGTTCTTCTCTGACACACGTGGGGTCACCATGAGTCAGAGTCAACTCCACAGCAACTGGTTCTGGTTAAGGTGTGTTGCACATGTTGTGATAATAGTGATGACATCTGCTTTTGTCAGAAAGCCATACCAAGTCCTCCACATTCTCTCTAGCCAAAGCTCCACAGGAGGAGAGAACATCCTCAGAACCAGTTACATAGCACTACCTCAGCCATCATCTGGGACTGCACCAGCTCTTAAGAACCAAATGAGATTCCTCTGAGTTCTGAATTCCACAGTCCAGTGAACTGCTAAGACTTCTCAAGATTTTGGAGATGAAATGGAATTCCTCATGTTCCCTTCCGTGTCCAGGCTCCTGCAGTGTTGCTTACGGTCTCTGTGCCTCACTGCATTGACCCAGAGTTGAACCTCAATACTTCCTTTTGTTTCCTGAAATTATCTTCTCTTACAAAAGCATTAATGAACAAAATATATTTCCCTGAAGATTTCATATTCTTCCTGAAGGAGGAATATTTCATTGCATATGAACAGTGAACAACTTAAAGTTTCATATTACGTAGTTGTGTTTTCCAAAGACTTCTTTGTGACAACCTGCCACTGGGAATTTCTCTCTCCCTCCACACTCAGTACCCAGCCTCACCAACTTTTCCAATCATTCTCCCACCAAACTTCAAATTTCTCTCCCAACCCCAGTGGAGAGCACTCCCGCTCTCTTTGGCCCTTATTCCTTAACTTATAAATGTAAACCAGTCAGGTGCTCAGTAGATCAAAGTCCTTTGCTTTAACAAGATCCCCCACCTGCCATAGAGGAGTTGTAGGCTAAGCACATTTGCTGACTTATGGTCAAAATGCTAAATGGTATTTGTCACATGGTTCTGTGGCCCTGTTCTTAAAGGAATTGCCTTTGTCATATTTGTTTTTGCTCCCAAGGTGTCCCTCAGCCCAATGTAACTTGGTTGAAGAGAGGAGGATCTCTGAGTGACAATATTTCCTTGCTTTTCAATGGATCCCTGTTGTTGCAGAACATTTCCCTTGAAAATGAAGGAACCTATGTCTGTACAGCCACCAATGCCCTTGGAAAGGCCATGGCAACGTCTGTACTTCACTTGTTGGGTAAGTGTCAAATTCTTGTTCTTCAAATGCTTCCTATAGTACGTACAAGTAGGACACAGTGTTTTGTTTTTGTTTGTTTTTATTCTGGAATCAAGGAATAAACTCGATGGACATTGCATGGTTTTAGATATCACTACCACTGCACACTTGCAGATGAGCACTAAATATCAGTTCTCTGTCTTAGAATAGCTCTGCTTTTAGAACGTTGGCACTTTCTCAGTGCCCCTCTTCTACAAAGAAGCTACACTGGCATAGAAACTTTTCCGCCCAGATTCCAAGACCCTTTATTTTCTGCCTCTACATTTGCTTAACTCCTGACCCTCATTCTGAGTTAGCACAGAACTGTGTTCTAGTCAAGAAGGTTTCCTGCCCTATGGTCTAACACAACACACACACACACACACACACACACACACACACACACACACCATACTCTTTCCCTCTTTGAAGCTTCCAGATATACTACTCTCCCAGGAAAAAATGTTCTTCCCTGCCTTTCTCACCATTGTCCCAATCCCTCCAATCCTGCAGAACCAACTGAACTCCTACCCACTTTGTGAATCCTTCTCTGATTCTGTCTGACCTCTCCTTCCTCTGGGCTCATCACTTGGTACCTGATTAAGTCCTGATGCACAGTGATCCCCAACTTTTCCCTCACTTATGTCTGTCTCCTCAGTTAAATTGTGGCTCCCTCAAAGGTAGGAACCGTGTCTGATGTTTCTTTTGCAGGCCTAGGGATTAATACAGTACAAGGCACACAGTAGGTGCTCAATAAATACCAATCTATTGATTCTAAAAACATCTTGCATTTGGGTCAGTATTATAATTTGGAAAAAGTCATTACTATGTGCTCCCTAGCACAGGATAATAAGCTGGCTTCTCTTAACTGCTAGGGATAATATCTAGAACTCATCAAGCTCTTATCACCAAAATGGGCTTTAAGTTGCTGGAGTTTTAGGACTCAACAAATTTTAACACTCCTTTTTCCTACCAGAGGTTGGAACCAAAGGAAAGTTAATCACGTAAGTCAGTCAGATGGAGACCAAGGAGCATTTATAATTTCCCTCTGTGTCCCCAGCACCTAACAGGTGTATTAAAGAAGCGTTTCATGAATGAATGAAATCCAATCATTGGCAGAACTAGCATGAGATTATAGAGTTCCCTGCTGAACCAAAAGGAGAGGATGTGAAAGAGCCATGCTTTCCTTCTTGGCAGGTAGAGGAGCCCAGAGACATAAAGACATGGGAGGTGCCAAGGCAGGGAGTTGGGATAGTTGTCCTGCACAGAGCACTTTGATGTTCATTAACTCTTTTGATCTTTTCAGTAGCACAGTTTATGGGCATTAATTTTTAATCCCATTGTATAAATGAGGAAACCCAAATTTCATAGGGAGTTTGGACTTGTTGTTGTTGGGTGCAGTTGAGTCAATTGTTGACTCATAGTGACCCCATGTGACAGAGTCGAACTGCCCCATAGGGTTTTCTAGGCTGTAATCTTTACAGGAGCAGATTACCAGGTCTTTTTCCCATGGAGCGGCTACGTGAGTTTGAACTTCCAACTCTTCAGTTAGCAGCCATTGTGCCACCAGGGCTCCTTGGACTAGAGCCCAGATATGTGGTCTCCTTTCTCAGTGTTCTTCATACGACCCCTCATGGACTCTCAGTACTGATCAGAAAGACACAGTGTACCACCTCCTCCATGTGACTCTTTCCAATTTGCTTCTGTCATCTTGTAAGTTCTCAGGACAGAAGAGTTTCAGTAGGTTGGCTAGGCCAATACATGTCTGACTTTTGAATACCTCCCAACACTCTCTGAGAATTCCCAGCCTTATTTCTGGTTTCTGTCCATCTCCATTCCTGAATCTTCATGGCTTTCTTAGTTTTGTCCTACACATCCCTTCTTTGAGAAGTCCTCTTAATCCAACCATCTCACAGATTTGGTAATTTCACTGAGGAATCAAGAAAATCTTACATCACGCAATACACAGCATTCCTCTACCGTCTTTCGGCTTGTACGTTCAAGTTTCACTACCTTCCTAAAACCTGTGATCTTCACCATGTGAGACCCCCATGAAACATCACCCCTCCTCCTGCTCAAGGGAAGAGCTCTGTCAGACCAATCTGCTTCCTCCAGCCCCTTCTTGGAATTCTGATGAATGTATTATTTCCCATCCTGTTCGTCAGGCTCTAAACCCTGGAAACATACAGAGATGCCATGTGTCAGCACAGTTAGCTAAGCTAACTAAGCTCCTATAACACTCCACACTTCCATACCCACACAGACCTCCCAGACCTGTGTGAGCCTGAGCATTCAGGGATAGAACATTTTATTGGAAAAAGATAATTTCCTAACTGTTACTTTTGACAATACCCAAGATGGAACAAGAATTAGATAATTTCTAACGGGTAAACAAGTGTTACTTTTTTTTTTTTTCTCTCAGAACGAAGACTGCCAGACAGTATAATTGTCTTTCCCAAGGGACATAAAAAGCATGTGCTCTTGGCATCCAACACTGGACCCAACATCGATGACACACCAGGAGAAGCCTTACCTCAAGGTCTGGGATTTTGACTTTTTTTAGGGATTTGCTGTTTGTGAGGCCTGTGCAAGGAAAAAGATTTAGCTCAAAGACCCTCCATGTTTTAACACTTTCCAGTAAGTAAAATTATTCCTAGGCATTCGGACAGCTTTTCTTATACCCCTCAGTGTTCTGTGGTTCAATTCATTCCTTCCATATTGAAACATTTTTGAGAAAAATCAACTCCTGAGAAAGCCCATAGAGCTCATATCCCAAATGTGCATGGTTATTTGTGATAATGCAGATACCAGTTTTCCAATTTCAAAGCTGTTGCCCAGTTGGTAAATATTATAGAAGGATGGTTTGCTTAAAATTCTGGAATTAATTCATTTTTCTCTTTTCAAAAATTTTTCCACACATGCCACATTGTTGTACAGGTAGTCCTCAACTTACAATGGGGTTTCATTCCTATGACTCTTTTTTTTTTTTTTTTTTAGTTTTCATTATTATTGCCTTTTGTTATCGGTATCAACATCGGCACTTCTTTCTTCTCCAGTTATATGCACTTTATGTAAGCCAAAAAAAAGGACGGTCTTAAGTGCAGTTTATGGTAACTCCAATACATCATGAGTCAGGTACTACCTGTATATCAGTTAGAGTTTGGTTAGGAGAACCTAATCTAAGTATTCCTAGTTTGCAAAATTCCTTAAAAGGACCAAAGGATCAAGGTAGTGTTCAGAAAATCAGAAATGCTAGAATCACAAGATACTACTGCTGATGATATCAGTTCATTGTACCTCCAAATGAGTAAGTCACAGGACATACAGAAGCTACTGTTAAATGTTATACTTGATTCTATCTACTATGTTGTTATTAGTTGCTGTCAGTTGATTACAACTCATGGTGACCCCATGTATGCAAAGCAGAACTGCTCCATAGGGTTTTCAAGGCTGTAATGTTTCAGAAGCAGATCAACAGGCCTGTCTTCTGAGAAGCCACTGTGTGGGTTTGAACCACCAACCTTACAGCTAGTAGTCAAGAGCTTAACTGTTTGTACCACCGAGGGACTCCTCTCTCTACTGTACAGGAACAATAATGACTTCTATGTCATTACAACCTTTTAAATCTTGAGCCAGTGTTCTCATTGGCATTCATCTCCTCATTGGCAGAATATATCCCAGAACTCTGCAGGTAGGGATTCTAGGAGATGTAGTTCCTAGGCTTCCAGCTCTTGAGATACATGGAAAAGTACAGAAGGTTGAGTCAACAATCCAGCACATGTTATTTATGATCTAAGGGCATTTATGTGGTATAGTTCTTCTCCTCTTTCAGACATAATACTACCATGATTACATCCACTATTATTTATTCATTCAGTATTTGACAAATATTTGTCCAGTACTTATTCTCGTCAAAGCTAGGGATACAGAGATAACCTAGACCTTGATAAGCTCAGAGTCTAAAGAGGGAGGCAGTATTGTCAACAGATATTTTGATGTGGTGTGACAAGTGCCATAATAGAAGCCTGGCCAAAGTACAATGGTAGCATTGAGGAGGGGCCCTACCTATCTCTGGGGAAGTCAGATAAGTTTTCATGTAGGATATGATGTTTATTCTGGGAAGAGGAAGAAGGGCATTCCAATCAGAGAAACCAGGATATACGAAAGCAGAGAGAAGTCCCCTGTGGCGTGGAACATGAAGATCAGAAGAATCCCCTCAAATAAATTAATGAAAAAAAAAAGGATATTCATAAAGCTGAAGCTGCTGGTGTAGGTGAAGCCTTTGGAATGTTTATGGATTTGGTTTATTGGGACTACCTAGATTCTTCTACCACCTCTCTCTCTCTCTCATACACACACACACATACACTACATGACTCCTTACCTAAGCATTTCAAAATACTCATTTACTAATTTAACAAATACTGATTGAGTGCCTAATATATAACAAGGCCTGTCCTAGCTGGAACTGATATTTTAATAAAAAATATGAACAATAAACTGGTAAATATGTAAGATATTTCTCTGTGCTAAGTGCTATGAAGAAAACAAAACAGGGAGATAAGATGCATAGTGATTGGGGGTAAACATGGTCAAGAATGGCCTTCTGAGGAGGTGATGTCTAAGCTGAGACCTAAAGAATGAGATGGAACCATCAATGCAGGAAGGTAATGAAAGAGCATTTCCCGCAAGGGGAATAAACCAGTTGCCATGGAGTTGATTCTGACTCATGGTGACCCTGTGTGTGTCAGGTAGAACTGTGCTCCATAGGGTTTTCAATGGCTGATTTTTGGGAGGTAGATCACCAGGCCTTTCTTCTGAGGTACCCCTGGGTTGATTCCAACCTCCAAACTTGCAGTTAGCAGCCGAGCATATTAACCGCTTGCACCACCCAGAGACTACAGGCAGAGGGGATAGCCAAGTGCAAAGATCATAAAGTGGGAACAAACTTAATGTGGTCAAGGAACAGAAAGATGATTCATGAGACTGGGGCAGTGAGGGAGAAGGAAAGGAGGACAAGATGAAGTTGCAGAGTTGCTGGGGGCCAAAGCGTTCACAGCTCTGAGGGTCAAGGTAAGGACTCTAGAGTTTCTTCCTAAAGAATTGGGAAATCACTGAGGAGTCATATGGGGGAGTGATATGGTACAATTTTCTTAAGTGCATTTGTGTCAAAAATCACCAAACATAGAGAAAAAGTTGTCAAACTGAACTTCATCAGAATTAAAAATTTCTGCTTATCAAAAGACATCATTAAGAATATGAAAAAGCGAGAAGGTGGGGCCAAGATGGTGGAGTAGCCAGATGCTTCTGGTGGACCCTCTTACAACAAAGACCCAAAAAAACAAGTGATTCGATTATATACGGCAATCTGGGAGCCCTGAACATCAAAGGTGGAGTTGAGGAACTGGACTGAGTTGCAGGGGGAGGGAGAGATGGTTCGGAAGCAGCAAGGAGTTGCCAGATCTGACCCAGCAAGAGCCTGAGCCCTTCAGGCCTGATCAGCTCAGGGGTGAGCAGTGAGTCAGGCAAGCATCGGTGCTCGGGAGGTGTATTCTGCACTGGGAGAGACTCAGCCACTGAGAGTCTACTCAGCCATGCAGAACCAGTGAGAAACAGGCCTCCACGAAAGATAAGTACTTGCATACGGCTTACCACGGGGATCAAAAACACTCCCCTTAGGGAAAAACCTCTCTCCCATTTACCTCCCTGCTCCCTGCTCTGCACTGGGTCCCTGACCAGCTTCAGCAATTGCCGAGTGCCCTGGGCTACAAGTAGTATCCATCACGTGCCCAGACCCATTCTCCCTGCCTTGGAGAGTGAACAAATTAACAAACGGGGAAAAAATAAACTGCCAGCTCCCCTAAGCCAGGAACCCAGGGTAGGCACAGCTCTTTTTTCCTAGGCACAGGCATAAAGGATCCACAGACTTTGAGTGCCTTTCCCCCTGCATAGACTTGTGTAGGCCCATCTCAGCAGCATAGGCCCTCATTAACACAGTACAACAGGGTATATACTGGAAGTCTAACTTCAACTCTTTCAGCTGTGAAGTGACAGGTTCTTGACATTTGACACTGCTCTGCCCATTAAGCAGGGTCTTCACATACCCACATCAGGGGCCTGAGGACTCGTGGCTCCACCCACTTCACCTAGCCACCTGCAATAGGGGCCCAGGAATAAGCGGTGCCCCCCAGTCCTTACAGCCAACAGCATTAGCTGCTCATAGTGTGGCTACAAAACCCACCCACCTACGTGCTCTAGGGAACAGGGACACCCAATCCTCTTGGACACTTGATGGTGGCCGTCAGCCCCCTGCCTTGCTCAGAGTGTCTCCCCCTGCTGCAGCCAGATGCCTGTGCCTACACCAATCACCCATGTCTGTCTAGGACTGTAAGTGAGAGCCTACACCGCACACTTGGTGGCTATCTATATGGGCACCTGAGCTGAATCCATACAGGAGGAGTGGACAGACTCCTGGGCTCTCATTCCTAGTAACAGATCTAACCACCTGGTGACAGGACATTAGAGGTTCAAAGGTGCCAATAATCAAACTAGCTCATATGAGCAGCCTATTTGGGCATATCAAAACAAAACAAGAAGCTAGGACACAGTAAGCAAACATAAAATAAATAAATATAATAACCTACTGATGGCTTGGAGACAACAGTCAATATCAAATCACATAAAGAGGCAATCCATGATGGCTTCAGCAAGCTCCCAAAATAAAGAATCTAGAAATTTTCCAGAGGAGGAAAATTACTTGGAATTACTGGACACAGAATAAAAAAAATTAATATATAGAACTCTTCAAGAAATTAGTTAGGAAATTAAGCAAAACGCAGAACACCCAATAGAGGAAATTAAAAAGATTACAGAAGAGCATAGTGACAAAATTAACAGGCTGCAAGAATCCATAGAGAGACAGCAATAAGAAATCCAGAAGATTAACAATAAAATTTCAGAACTAGACAACTCAATAGAAAGTCATAGGAGCATAACTGAGGCAATGGAAGTCAGAATTACTGATACTGAAAATAAAGCACTTGACACCAACTTATTTGAGGAAAAATCAGATAAAAGGATTTAAAAAAATGAAGAAACCCTAAGAATGATGTGGGACTCTATCAAGAGGAATAACCTACAAGTGATTGGAGTACCAGAATAGGGGGGACAGCAAAAAATACAAAAAGAATTGTTGAAGATTTGTTAGCAGAAAACTTCCTGGATATCGTGAAAGATGACAAGATATCTACCCAAGATGCTCATCGAACACCACATAAGGTAGATCCCAAAAGAAAGTCACCAAGACATATTATAATCAAACTTGCCAAAATCGAAGATAAAGAGAGAATTTTAAGAGCAGCTAGGGATAAATGAAAAGTCATCTACAAAGGAGCGTCAATAAGAATAAGCTCAGACTACTCAGCAGAAACCATGCAGGCAAGAAGGCAATGGGATAACATATATAAAGCCTTGAAGGAAAATAACTGCCAGCCAAGAATTATATATCCAGCAAAACCATCTCTCAAATATGATGGCAAA